TATTCCCCCACTCCCATTTTCCCCTTTCTCGCAGTTTCTCTCTCACAGTCATTCTCACGTACACTTAGTAAAAATTTCACTTTGTGTCAACTCACGGGGCCGCGTCAGAAGTTGGTGTGGAAGCTGCGCTCGCACCATGTACCAATTAAATGCCTTTTCTTTTTTTTTTGTTTTTTAATAAGCCTGTGCGGGTTCAGCTTCTTTTGAAATGATAGTACGAATATACGTAAGTTTCAGTCTAGCGGGGACTTGCCGTTTTATGCAGGTCGTGTTTCACTTTTTTTTTTTCTTTTGTTACGTCACTACGAGTCCAAAAGCGTCAAACATCTTATCCGCCATTTCATATCTCCACGATGCGTGAAGGGGACGTCGGATCCGCAATACAAAATCCATGATGATCCAAACTAATCCGGAATGATCATTGTACCATAATCTTACGTAGTGGGCTCTGTGGGCATATAGAGGATTGGGCTATGACGTCATCGACGTACACTTGGATGGGTGGGGGGTGGGGGGGGCAAGATGGCGGTGAGATCTTAACGTTTTCGGATTCTACGTGTATCTCGTATGTATATATATATATATATATATATTTATATACGTACGTTACTTATTACAGGTATGTATGTATATTTAGATTCGCTATATATATACTACAAGGGATTGCGTCGTTTAATACATTATGTACATCGTAGAGGATTTCATTATTTTTTTGTAATTTCGTATATCGAGATAAATCTCAATTTTGAAATCTTTACGAGTCATTACAAGCGTCAGTTTTTTCTATCTCTTTTCCTCCTCTTTCGAGAATTAACGTAAATCGATAGACGTCACAAGCGTCACTGTCACTATTGAAATTCCCGGATACGAAAGGCGCGTTTCCAAAGGACGCGCGATCGATCGGGATACGTCATCGTACGGAGTCGCGCGACACGTCGCTAAAACGAGAGCTGTCGACGACGCGAGTGTTACGACGTCTTACGATGGATAAAAGAAAGAGAGAAGATGGAAGAAGAGCGATATCTTGAATCTCAAGATAGAAGAGGATGGAAGGTGAAGGGTCGGTAAGGTAGAAATCTTACTGGAGATAATAGCTGGATGAATGTAAGGGAGAGTGTGGGTAACGAAGTGCAAATGAAAAAGGGTAAAAAGTGGAGAGCAAGTAGTAATACAGTAAGAAAGGAATAAAGAGACAAGAGAGTGAGAGAGATATATATAAGAAAAAAAGTGAGTAGAAACAAAAGAGATGGAGGGTCAATACATCATTAATCGAGTATCATCCGATCAAATGATCTTCATTTGGCAGAGTATTTGAATTGTCTATGCCCCATCCCTCCCC